TATTTTATATCTTTTGCTTATGATTTCCAAAATAGAACTATCATGTTTAACTCGTCGCCAACTAAAATATAGGTGAAAAAATATCTGTCCATGTTACAGTGCTGTTTCCATCTCTGATGCCAATGCATGATCTGTTGCAAATTTGGTTTAGGCCTAAAATATTTTATTCTTTTTTGTCTATGCTTTGGCATTTCAATATTTCAACACATCTTCAGTGACTTTTTCTTTTTTCAATCTTACCAACAAGATTTAAATCAGACTAATTATAATCCTCAATCTTTCTTGTTCTTGTAGATCAAAAAGTCGTTCCTGAACAACAACACAAACATGGGAGTTGAAGGTTTATCATCAGTTGGACAAATACTTTCCAATCAATCCTGTGTTGAATGGTTGGGCCTTTCCGACTGTAACCTGTCATCAGATCAATTACAAGCCTTCAAATTATCGTTGGGAAATAACACAGAGGTGTGGCACAATGATCTACTTATAATATAATAACTTTCTTTTAGCTCTATTATATAGCAATGTCTGTAATGTATCGTTACTTGTATTTCGTTGAGTAAACTATCATATAAAGTGAAATAAAATGAAGGATTCTTACCTCATCTAGAGATAAATTTCATTGTTTCCCTGATTGGGCAATTTTGGTAAAAAGGGAAGGAACATCTAACTACCGCGGCATAATTAGGTTAACAGAATTGTTTTTGTGGAAAAGGATTAATCTTAGAAATATTGTGATAATTGGGTTTTCTGTTATTGTATTTTATACATTTATGCTAGCTGTAGTCTGGGTGGGATTTAGACCATGAAAGCCAGAACCAGGCTATGCAATTTGTGAAGTGCCTTTTTAAATATGAAGTTATAAAAATGCCTCACAATCCACCGTGGTGTTATCATAAGCCGAACCTAGGCTGTGATAAAACGTTATTGCACCAGAAAACCGGTTTCTAGTCATGAGAATTATATGTGTGCTAATGGGAATGGCCCAATTGCTGATTTAAAACATTACCAAAATAATCATTGCATTTATCAAATATTTGGATCTACAATAAAAAAGCTTAGTATTAATATAATCATTTTTAGATAAATTAAATTAGCTATATGTATATCAAATGAAAATTTTTTTTATAATAAATAAGTAGCATTATTGAGTAATAACTATTTCATTAATTTAAATTAGTACAGTATACTATATATCAGGTGTCACCAACCCGTTGCCCGCGGGCACCAAGTCGCCCGCAGGGACCATATGAGTCGCCTGCTGGTCTGTTTTAAAATAACTGAAATAGCGGCGCTTATCAGTAAGCTACATCTATTAATTTTATTCTTGCTATTCTTGTTTACACTTTATATGAAAAATTGAAATGACAATATATTAATTGTCGGAACGGTCAGCCTTTTCTATAGGTGACATCGGGTATGTCACATGTCATTGCAATTATGACATCACACACAGTACGTCAGCTCGCGCCATATGCCTGTCGTTCATTTCTAACCTTTTTTTAATGAAACTTGGACATGTCAAGCATTGTTGAGCAACGTTCAGCCTTGATGGGGGACAGATGGAGCTTAAAATTGTCACACTGCTAAATGACCTCCACCTCATAGCCAATAAGGACCTGTCACACTTTAGGGCTCTAGTTGACACAGAAAGTGTCGTGATGTATGAACAAGACTCACTCAGAGTTTCGGTGTCAAGTTGCAAACTAGATACAACACAAGGGTGAAGAACATGCAATACCAGGTGTCCCACGTATTGAGGTGGAATACACCAGATTTGGTCTTGGTTGAAAATATGATATTCACGATTTGTTAGATGTGTTTGTAAAATATAACATTTGATAGCACAACTTTTGATAGTTTCATGAATAATTAACATTATCAGTGTCTCCTTGGCTAAATACCATTAATATTAAATTGGCTTTTCAGAAGAGCGCTCTTAGCTTAGTCGGTACCCAGAAAGTAGCCCGCTGCTTTATAAAGGTTGGTGGCCCCTGCTATATATTGTCTTCAAATTTGAAGTGGTAGAAATTTGATTTGATGAATTTTTGATATGTATTTCTGCAGAAGTCTGACCTTGGTCCAATGAAACATAACAGAAATATATTTGTGTGTTACAAACCTTTTGAATCACTAATTATTTAAATGTGTATAAAGATAAACATACACATAAACCTGGAATTTATTCCCCGTACTCCTCACCTGTTAAAAAGCCTGGCTGCGCCCCCTGAGCCTAATCGAGTGTTGAGGGTTCAAAACTACAAAAGAAAAACGCTGTGCATGATGAATATGCTTGATCAATTGACATGGCTTGCAGCATTTCTATTTCATCCAATGATGATTTTTTTTATATTGGGGTCGAGTTGAAAAATCGAAAAAATATTCTGAAATATAAACCATAGTAGGTGCTTGCAATTCCTCTCAATATTGATTTTATATCTATGTATATTGTATTATATATAGAATAACGTAGAATCTCCCAGATTTTAGAACTTAAAAATTGAGCAAAGGCAACAGGTTAAAAAAGTTCTGATTTTCGAAATTCATACCTACAAGTTTGAGTGGATTTGGTTTGCTGCAAATCTGTGTAAAAATATCTATATTTTTATAGCTTTAATCTAGTCTGGTGTTATGAGATTTGACTCAAGTCAAGTTCAAATATTTTTAGTTTTAAATCGATAAGCAATTTTTGGATGAAGTACTTATTGTCACTTAAATCTTATAGTGATCATTTATAATAACTTGAAATAGGCCCTGTTAATATCAAAGTAAATATATATTGAAATATGTTGTTCAAGAAAATTCAATTTACATTTTATCTTTATGATGTCATAATTGCTCAAGTGTCCATTGTTGTGAAGTCAGAAAGTCTGTTTTGTTTTTAAATTCAATAGATAGGTATATGAAATATTACTTGCCTATTTGACAAAAAAATTTAGGAGTATCGGGGAAAAACTTTTTTTCAGTTATAAACGTTCATAGTTCTATTTTTGATTAACAAATGAACCAATCCTAAATTTCCTTACAGATCAAGGAGTTCTGGCTGCATGGCAACACAAACATGGGAGTTTTAATAATAGATTTCAGGCCAACTTGTTTGTATAAAAATTTGTTTGAAATATTCAATGATCAAACATGGGTCCGATGAACAATTTGGTTATTTATTTCGGTTAACCTTCCAAGCTCAGTTAATTTTGCTTGAAATTATAAAACAAATAGGCGAAGTATTCTTTTTTTCATTGAGCATTCAGTAAATATATTTTTCAACAAATTGTTTTATTTGACACTTATTCACACCTTTCACTCTGAGCAAGGCACGTATAAGCATCCACGGATATCTGTAAGAGTTACTATTTTTTAAAGACCTAGAATCTTTATTCTTCGGCATTACCCACTCAATCTATTACACATTGTGTTGAGTGGTTGCCATGGGATTTGAATCCGAGGTGTGTAACCTGTGATGCAAACATATTCAAGTCTAATGCTTTAACTGCTATGTCATCACACCTATACTTGCAAACCTAAGATTCTCCTGTTGTCCTATCATCCTAAAAAGTTGCTTTTTGGTGAAAGTGTTCATGAGTAAAAACAAGAAAATCAAATCGAAATTATGGAGCAGATTTCAAAAAAGAAATAATGAAAAATAAAAACAAATCCAAAATTCTATTTATTTCCGACAATACAAATTTTATATCTTCACGACCGCATTTAATTTGTTATAGAATTTTTTTTATCTGTGTGCACTCGTGGGATGGCCTATTGCAATTTTTCATTCTTGATAGCATCATTAATGCTCACTGGTGCACCCAGGGTTTGCAAAGTCACTACCGTATATTCTCGCATAATATTGCGTACAGATTTCACAAGGCTAATTTTGTTAAATCGCCAATTGTTTCGTTAATGTTTTATGGTTATTCAAACACCTATATTATGTTGGTAAACTGTATTTTTACTAATTTTCTTCATCTCACATGTATTCAAGTGCGTCAGGCTCCTAATATAATTAAAAGAGTGAATCTGCACCTCGAATTTTTGATTGAAAATATCGGAGTATTAAGACCAAAAAGCTATTCTAGGCATTGTGAAATACCGAAATTGTGTGTGCATAGGCACACGTTGAGTTGCGTCGAAATATACTATATTCACTGTTGAGCAATTCAATTAGCCATTATTGAATTACCGCAATGCGGCACTCATTGTTTTTATTTCAATAATTCTTTCAATAAATATGGTATTGTTCTACAACGGTATGGACTTTTGAGATTTTTCATCGCAGACATTAGAATTTTTCTAATCAATATCTTTATAAAAAGATGTCAGTCAGTGTTGCAAAAACAAATCAAATTTGATGAATGCGCAAGATCAGAAAAATGCAAATCAAGTCTGACTATAAGTTGGCAATTTATAATGTAGATTTATGACTGCTAATTGTAGTATTTCAGTACCATGGTCCGTGGTATTTTAGCTCAGTAATGCCCTTATATTGTCACCGAAACTGAATATAATCGAGCGGTTTTCTAAGCATTCTCATTTCTGCAGTTTGGCATGGCTTTGTTGTAATTTCTTAATAGTTGGCAGCTAAGTATTGTCAGCTATGCTGAATTGTGCTTTGATCAAATAGCATTGCTCCAATTTCACTGTGATGAAGGAAGAATATAATTCCAGCTTAATTATTAGCTTATTTAACCAAAGGTCAAACAATCTCTCATCTCCTCACCAGTTATTGTGGGAGCATTGCAATGTTTCGTTCAGTAGTGCTCGAGAATCTATGTTTTCTACAAACTCCAGGTTTACAAATTTTAAGATAGGCGCAAATTAAGGCTATGGCCTAAAGCTGAGTAAATTGCCTCCATTCAATTCTTATAAACATAAATTATTTTGAACATTTATTGAGCATGCATTTTTCATTGCAAACCTTGTTAAAGACAAACTATGACGAATATAACTGTTATGTATTTTATTCAAGTCTGATTGTTCTTTGTATTTGTATATTTCAACAGATTGATGACTTGGATATGAGTGAAGATAACCTTCCAAAATATCGTGCAAACCATGAAAAAATTGTTGCAGTTGCAAATCTGCTTCCTATTGTTACAGAGAAGTTGGGGTTGTATGGATGGAACATTACAGATGAAGATGAAAAAATATTACAGAATCAATTGGATGAAATTGGATCTGAGGTTTGAAAGACAAAATATAGAATATAAGTCAAATAAATATTTGATAAACTATGAATATACTGTATTATAATAACACACATGTGTTATAATGTGTTTTCATCCCAAAAATGTATCATTTATTTTGCTCTACTGCATTAATAAATTTTATTATTATTTTCAATTGAAATTTATTTCAATAGTCTTGCAATATCAAATAATTTTGTATAAAAATTACTGTCTGAGGTTTGAAAAACTAAATATAGAATAGAATATAGGTCAAATATAAAATATGAATATAACATATCAAACAAAGTTCAAATTGTTGAGGTGATAAAAAAAATATTATCATGGTAATTTTGATTGCACATTGATGTTTCTACGATCAAGTTTTTTTGTTTATAGAATGATATAAACAATGTGAATATTTTTTTCTCCCCAAAATGTATCATTTATTTTGCTCTACTGCATTAATAAATTATTTTATTATTTTTTAAATGAAATTAATTCCAAAAATTTTACAATATCAAATAATATTTTATAAAGATTATGATAATTCGTGTTTCTGTTTTGCCAAGCAAAAGTCAAAAATTCTTAAGTGAATTAGATCCACAAATATTTCTCAGTATCAACCAAGACATTGATTAATAACATGGTAAATAATAGATACAATTCTGACTGTCTTTTATTATCATGACCATTTTGTGATAAGTTCATATAAAACAGTTTATTCATTACAGAAACTACAGATTTGGCTGCATGGAAAAAGACTCAAATGTCAAAAAAAAGATAATGAAGATGAAGATAAAGCAACTAATGTAATTCTCAAACAAAATCCAATCTTGTCTTCAAAAACAGAATTTGGTAAATCTTAGATATTTTCATATAGAATTATACAGTGATAAATGAGTATTAATCATGGCTGCATTGGTTCTGTCTGATTCCTTATATAACTCTTATTTATTATTTTTATTCTCATTTTCAATCTCAAAAATGACTAGAATTTATAGTTTAAAAAATTTGCTGTTTAGCTGCTGGAGTTGGCACATCTTGCAGCTCATTAAACTATAAGATTGTTTTAACAGTTTTTGTATTTCAATTGTATTGTTGTGAATTAAAATAAATATTTATTCAAAAAATGATTTTTACTTTGCTGGGATATCAGAAATTGTACTGAATATAGAGTATCTAAAAATATTTGCTTGAAAAATATTGAAGTATGTGAATATAATTGTTTCCAGGCTATTTATTTACTATTTTTTTGACAATATTACATAACTTAAAACAGTTATTAGTGTCCTAAATAATTGCATTTTAATAGTTATATATTTTTATTTCTAAGGGACCACATCACGAATTAGCAATTCAGAGAGTACTGAAGAAAATCGGGAGATTTCAAAAGAAGCTAAAAGCCCAAGGTTAGATAAAACAGTAGTGTGATTTTAAAATATGACTTACATTTGAAATAAACTTATATCGGCACTTGGATCTGTGTGGGCTGAAACGTCTGGTTCGAAACGTACTTGACCGTGACCATGACGATAGTAAATAAAACACTATACTCCACCTTGCTAATGACACAAAATCAATTTTATTTTATTTGACTCATGTGATAGCGTATTGACAAAATGCTGTAAAAATAGTTCTACTCTATTGACTGAACAGAGCAGTTTGCGATGATCTGCTTCTCATGGACTTTTATAATAGGTCCCATTTGGCTGGTATTCCTTTTGAAAACGTATGCCCAAAGGTTGTATTTCAGTGTTTTGTCTGCAGACATGATTTATTGAAATCTTGTATGAAATAATAATTATCCAATCCAAATGCCCCAATAAACATTTATTTTGGTCACTTTCTAGTAGAGATTCTGTGTTGATTCCTATTATCCATTGGTATCCAATTCTCTTCATAATTTCAGTCTTAGTTTTTGCTATGTATATAATTGTCAAAAGCTTCAACGAAATTATACCAGCAGAGCATAATTATTTGAATTTGATTCAATAAAAAAATGTATTGAAATTATTAAATAGCAAAACCAACTTTGTATAAATATAATGATGACAAAAAAGAAAGAATAATTTCACACTGTTATTTTGTTTTAGAAGTGAACTCCTGATGACTGAAAAAGAAGCAGAACAATCAGATAAAGAAGTAACTGAGCAAGCTGCAAAGCTAACCAAGCCTAGTAAGTCAGTCGTATTGATATAATCAGGCAGTATTATAGGTCCTCTCGTAGTATGTGTACCATATTAAAGTTGGGCCATAATTTTATTCCGATTTTCCTTATTTTAGTTCTATTATGAGTTCAGGGACTGTCTGCTTGCCCGTAGGTTTCAGTCTCTTTACATAACTTGTGCAAAATTGGTGAATAAAATTAGTTACCTCCATTTTGTTACACATCCTTCTGGAGCGCTGTATTATGGGCAACATCAGCTTCAAATTCACAGTTTTAGTTAAAAAATCTTGTAATTATAATGAAGTACTGAAACACCATCGGTTTCTAAGAATGAAAAGAAATTCGTTTGATTGAAATGCAAACTTTCACACAAATTCAGGTTTTTTCTATGCCAAATTCTGTTCTGGCATAATTTCTCTCAATGTCCAATACTGGCACTGTATAGCAATTTAAATTTCACATTTCAACTCAACAATCATACTCATGTTTTTTTTTTTTTTACACAATTTCTTAGTATGAAGAATTGAAATATTCAACGAATAACTTTGACCAAGTCACACAAACGTTTGGTGGGTCTAGACCTGTGCTCGTCAACCGGGTGTATAGTACACCCCACGGTGTACCAAAAAGTTTTAAGGGTGTACCATGTCGATGGGCTGTACCAGGGGTGTACCATGCCGAATGTTGTGAGGTACACATTATCACATGATAATATGCTTCTAACCCAGGAAAAACTTTCGATGGCTGCTGTTTTTTTTTCCTTTGGCTTGCAAAATTGTCTCTTCTAACAGCCATATTTAAAATCGCAAATCAGTTAAAATTATCGAAGGGGAAGGATGTGATATTTTTGAAGCTAGTAGCAAGATTAGGTCTTTTAAAATGAAATTGAAGTTGTGGCAGAATAAAGTATCAAAATATGATTTTTCCGATTTTGAATGTCTGTAATATTTCATTGAGACTCAATAATGAGAAAATTGAAAAGCAGACATGAAAACCGAGAGGAGATCAACTATGCATACCCTGTTTCGCCGAAAATAAGACCTAGCCTGGATTTTTGAAATAATATTAATATAGGCCCTCCCCTTAAAATAAGACCTAGTCCTAGTCGATAGCGCAAATTTTTTTTGACCTATTCGACAGCAAGACATATACACGTTTCAAAAGATTATAAACTATATTTAGCAGTTTTAAATGAAAAGTGAGTATGTATATTTGAACATTTCGTAATTCTATATTTGGTAATTTTGTTTTTGATAAATGAAAGTAAAAGGCATCCCCCAAAAAGGGTCTGGTGATAATTTTAAAGAGTAAATTGAAATAAAACCCTGTCTTATTTTTGGGGAAACACGGTAAGCATCTTGATGTGCTACTACTAAACTTCGGAGCCTATTTTTTGGATGTTGAATATTAGGAACTTGGTTCTCTAATGTGGATTGTTCAGCCATTCACAAGTGAAAAGGTTGCTCTTGAACACATAACTGGTGAACTGCGTGAATTACAATCCGATCTTGTACGAAAGGCAGAGTTCAACACATATAAAAACTACAACTAATTATAGACAGCACTATTCGAAGTTCCCGAGTATCACAAAAAGATGACACAATTCACTTACGAATGCCTACAGCCCTACGACATACCTTTCGGAACAAGTGTTGTCTGCACTCATTGGAATTAAATCCAAAAAATAACCATTTGCCGATGGAATCCAAGAGTAAACGGCACATTAACTAAATAATATACTATTGCGCCAACGTAAACATATATATAACTTCTAAATATTGAGTTTTTTACGTGTTAAAAATGTAGGACGGGCGGGGTGTACCAGATTTTAAGAACTGGTTGAAAGGGTGTACCATTACAAAAAAGGTTGACGAGCACTGGTCTAGACTGCAACTATGTATCGTTTATATACTTTTGTTGTTGTGGATCTGTTTGCAAATAATGCAAGCAATAAGGCAAATTGCATGTTTTTTCCTCTAATCATTTTTTTCTCGGCCAAGCGGCCACTGGGTTACACTAGTCAATGAATCTTCCATAGTTTAAAAACAAATAATTAATCTGGTGAAACAAACCGTTTTCAAGTCTGGGCGAAGGATGGTTGGGGTAACATTGGAGTCAGAAAATGTCATGAATGGTATATTTCCAGGTTTATTTAGATTTAATTTTTTGTCGCGGACTTCTGTGAATAACACACATATACATAAGAGCAATCACTGGCAGTCAGAATCATATTGTAGCGGTGAGAGATTGCCCAACTTTTTGTAATTGTAATAATTTACCCCAGATTTCGTCATTGATTATACCTTGATCAACTACAACATGACATTGAAATATAAGCAAAGCCAATAATTACTGTATGTGCTGTATCTCTTACATATTGACGTTTGGGATTTTCAGCAATTGCTCAATAGAAACGGTCACACGCCCCTTGAAGGATGATCTCTGGTTTGATGAATATAATTTCATGATGTGTTTTGCTTATTTCCTTTAAACAACAAAACAGCTACCGTATTTCCTGCTTAATAAGTCTACCTAGCAAATGAGACGATGATTTTTAACACCCAAAAAGAGGGTGTTTACATATAGCCCTGCAATAAGAAGGGTAGCAAAATTGCTTCTCTGTTGGTCAGTTTAGCAATAAAATGCACGGCGAGCTCAGGTCCTGTTTGTATTCTTAACAATAAAGTGGCAATTTTAGCATTAAAAGGGCATAGGTGGTCATTTTGAACAGGCAGCCAGATTTATCAAACATTAGGGTGAGCCAAGGTTTCAACTTTGGGGCTATAGTCAAACAGTTTAGAACTTGGTTTAAATAAGTCCATCACGCCGACCTGATAACAACTTATCTGGAACTATATGATTATTTAAAGATATAATGACTATAACTTCAAACAACTGGTGCCACACCTTCTCACATAACATTCCAACAATTCTGAATTTTTCCAACAATCCACGGCAATCCAAACATGCGGCAGTGTGACACATGGTTCTAATTGTTAGGAATATGCTTGCCATTGCACCCTTGCTAACCCTCTGAAAATTTGCTGGTTAAAATCTTGTCGGGGATAATTATTTTTGATAGGAGACATTGTCGTAGTGTGGTTCAATTAACCACTGGCTGGGTACAGCTTCCTCTATCATCAAGTCCATGCATTTGATAACAAATAACTACTGGTAACTAATGGTTTGGAAGTCCCATACTTAACATGGATTGGTAGCCGGACGAGAGGATGTGGTACGCCATATGCTTGCGCTGTCTAATCAACTTTCCTCTCCTTTGGGATAATTATGTAAATAATATCCTACTTATGCAGCTTACTTTTGACATTATTTCCACATAAATTGAAAACAAAGCATTATAGTGATCGTAATCTTATGTTAAAAGCTATAAAACTTGGAAAGACCATAATCATCTTGGCTTGACACAGTTTGCACATTTTCTTACTCCTGCAAGCGTTTTCTTTTGTATTGATTATGACTATGATAGAGATCTTTAGCATGTGGCAAAAACGTTATTGGAGCTATAAGTTCTTCAAGATAGGCTATGCTTTTAATGAAATTTGTACGATTTAAATTATCTACATAAAAGAGGATATCATTCCTCTGCACAAATAAGAGAATGCATTCAAATTTAGACAATATTAATGTTCGGGAGTGAGGTGGATTGAAGCCTCTATTCATATTTTAGGCTAATAGCTAGCTAATATTAGAGTTCTTCTAATTATTTATTTAAACAAATAGTCAAACTACCTATTATATGTTAATACAAATTTAAAATAATTAATTATTTGTAACCATTACATAGTAATCAAACTCTGTAAAAATATTTATTTTGACCACCCTTTCTTTTTTTGGCATTTTGATTACCTTCTTAATATTGAAGTTCTCTCATTTCTAAAATGCTATTCATATAAACAGCATTTGCAGCATAATTAAGCTATTACTTCAGTGATTTCTATGTATAATCACTTGTATAGTCTATATGTGAATAGGTAATTGAAGTGTATAATTATGAAAGAGATTTCAGACCGGTAAACAAGTGTTAGTGGCCTAACATAGAAAATAAAATATACCAGTAATGATTTTAATTTAGAACTGAAATAATTTAGTATAAATTTGATAAAATCTGTACAATAATGAGAAGAATATAGAACTTCAATCTATCCTTAATATGAGTTACTTTTCTTGTGCAAAGTGACAATTCAATATTTTATTCTAAAGGCGATACTTCATCTAGAACTGCTGGTGTTAAGAGAAGAAGAACTTCAGATGGATGGATGGATTCCGGTAGTAGTCCAAGGTGAGATAAAATATGTACATAACCAAAAAATAATGATAAATTTGTTTCATATTTGAGTCTTCATTATGATTACTGTATCCTTACCATCAATACCCATTCTGTGTCTGACTAAATTTGTCCATGAAACAAGTTTCACATCAACAAATCATAGATTTGTTTATAGCCTTGTTAAGACCAATGTCTAAGTGTAAACGCACATCCGTCATGGTTAACATACAATATCATTATAAAATCTTATTTTTATGATATTTGACCAGAAAAGCCAAAAGAGGTTGCACAAATTGCATCTTGAAAACAATTTGGCTCATAATTTTCATGTCACACTAATTGAAATGATAATTAAGATTGAATTTTCACACATACGAAGACTAGGATCTAAGATTCTTCAATTAAAATTATAGCCTGAACCTCATTATGGCTGTAAAAGGAAATTATCCTTGAACCACTGCTCAGTTATTCTAGTCATAGACTCCTCCTAGTGAATTTCAATATCATAGCTTGATGGACAAATCCGGCTTTTCAACCAATATTTGCGGATTTAAAATCCCATTATCTAATTTTGAGTGATTTTAGGTGATAAACGTGACAATCCAACAAAACAAAATCCAGCCAAGAAAATTTACTTTGCTTTCTTATGTACATAAACTTTGTTTTTAGAAGCAAAATCCCTGCAACTGCAGTTGAGGAAATTCAACAAAAAGACGAACTAAGTCTATATGGTAAGTCTGCCATATGTTAATAGTCTCACAAAATTTTGAGTGTTGTGGTTCATGCAATAAATTTATGGTTTTAATATATTTTGGAGGTGATATATCTTACAGTTTATTCAGTATAATTTAAAGTAAATTGGCGTTTTGCATGTGCATAATGGCGATTGAAGTTAATTTTTAAAACATGTAAAGTTGGCATATATTATATGGTTAGAGTGTAACTAATGGAATATGTAACTAATTATACACAGAAAATTGAAGAATCTACAACAATGGGTTTTAATCTTTTTAGCACGTGGACCTGTCAAATTTCAAAACTAGTTTTGCGGACCAGTGAATCTTTAAAATTTGACAAAAATGTCAAAAACTGAACACAAAACGTAATTAAACCGACCAATTCAATTTGAAAAAAAGTTTGCTGCTGTCTTTTTGATATCAAACATATTGAACGCAGTTCTAATAAAGTTTCTACAAGGCGAAGTAAAGTGCCTATTTCTCTGTTTGGTCCTGATGAGAGATAACGATGAAAATCTTTTGTCACATAAGTAAGTCTTAAAAAAACAGCAGTAATTTAATGGCTTGATATCAAAGTTTGCAAACGTAGATCGAACCTAAATATCCAAAGTAAAGAATCGTGAATATCCAAAGTAATGTACAAGATCAAATCTGACAAATCTTTTTATTTTTAACTAGCTTCACGCCCCTCTCAAAAATTATAAAATTATCGGTACTCCTGAAGTATGCGCACCAAGATGTCGCATAACCTGAACCCTAACCTGGTACACAATCTGAGTTCTCCCCCCCCCCTCGCAAATCAGTAATTGCCTGGCGCGACCACCATTTTGAGAACCATGGTTCTAGATTGAACATACCTTTTGTGAAAAACGTCAGTTTAAGTGTAAACAAATCAAATGATTTACCGGTACTTTATTTTTACGAAAGGAATATCCTGGTAATTCATAATCTCTGCATTTTGTGTTGAGCATTTTCACAATGAGACCCACTGTTTTTTTTGGTGACTTGCCAAATCACTAATTAATGCGCAAAAAATACTAACATTTCGTGAACGCTAACGTGAACGCTACTTTACGATTGATTCTTTTCCCGCATGCAATATTGTTCGAAAGCAAATTTTATAGAGTTGAATCAATGACTACAGAGTTTTGAAATAAAAATAAAACAGGAAGTTGTGGCGTTTATTCATAACATTTGAAGTCAAGTCATTTTTGCATATTGTCTTGCAATAGCGATTATCCTAACTATGTTTTCATGTTCAATATTTAGATGCACAGCCCTACTACCCCCCTGCTTCAGATTCAACACCGTCTCAAATTGAAAACGCTTCATCTCAAAGAAGTGACAAACCTGAAAAAAATTATGAACAGCAAAAAGGTAAATATTTGGTAATTCTTGATATAATCATAATTTTCTGAAAGTTTTGAGTAGCTGTGTCTAAAACAGCTACTGGGTACTCAATGCTCACATTCTGAAGTTTTTCTTGAGTTTGTGATCGTGACATCACAATATTCATTACTAGGTGTGAAAGGGCGCCATGTCACCTGCCTAACTTGAACAACAAAATTTGTTATCGTTGTCAAATTTTTTTTATAAATTTATGAATTATTCTAAGTTCTTATAATAAAATTGAGCCTATCAGCTTCTATAATGCTAATTTAAACCACCTTAGGTCTTCTGAAAAGTGATATTCAAGATGCAAGAGTCACATACGACCTTGTTGAGGTACTTTACAAGCATCGAGATGATAAAAAAGAGGTGATTTGTGAGGCCATAAAAGATATCTCAATAAAACATTACAATTTGAATGATGCGAATATTGAGGTCTTTCTCACCACAATCTCAAAATTAGATAATCTTGAAATGCTGAACGTACAGAATTGTGGAACATCTGAATATCTCAACAAATTTTTTGAAAAATTGGAAAGGACAAACTGCAAGGTATGTAGATTAAGAAACTATATTTTCTGTATATTTATATCCCAGATCCCAGCATTAGATTAAGAATGGATGAAAAAAGTACATTGCGCTCTTAATTGAATATATTTCGCTTTCATTGTTGGTACAGTTTCCAAAGCCAATCGATCATAATGTGTAGGCATACAAAGTTTTGTGATTTACAATTTTTTAAAAGGGGGGCATTCTAAAACAAATCTGATGATGTTTTTTGTTTTATTTCAAGTATTTTACATAACCACTTTTCAATATAAAAGTCTTCAATCTTTTGACAAAATTGGATCACTCACTCGCTTTATTAAGAATTTTTCATTTTTCAAAAATGTTAAAAAGGAGGCTTGGACCCTAAACCCAGCTGTGTCACTGCTGTGAAGCCATGCAAGGTGAAAAAAAACTATTTCTACTATTTATTATGGTTTGTCGAAACTTCAAATCTATTCCTCTTGTGCTGATCAGTGCTTGAAATTCAGTTTTTTTTTGATATCTTACATAAAAACTGTTTGATAAAATATAGAGTAAAGCTATTGGTATTACAGCTGAAAAGCTATGTCCTATTTCAGATTGCAAAAATAAGTATATGGGGAATGAAAAACCTGAAAATCTATTCACAATCTTTGCTGAAGCTTCTGACAAAATCGGAAACAGAATCACTGATGATTCAGGCAGTTGAGCTTGAAGATGAAGATGTGAATCAGTTACTTAAAGATATTAAAAGATTGGTATATATTTAAATGAAACTTTGTACTTAATGGACAAAAAACTAATCAGCCTCAAAAATAGTTGAAAATAAAATATAAACCGATATTGTAAGCATCAATCATTTTAGATTTGCTCAGGTCACTCTGGAATATTGAACTCTGACACACTTGATACACATATGTGTTTTATCTAAAATAGAAATATGTTTGTGTTGCTCTTGTGACATAAGGATCAAATTTATTTGTTTCATTTCAATAACTGAAGGCAATCTATTTAGGCAACTAGACTCGATAATGACTGGGATATTCCCATTTGTCATATAGTATACCCAATTTAATAAGCCATTGGTGATGGGTTCAGAGTGGGTTTGAATCTTCATTTTAATATGCAATGTCAACATATTTAGGTTCAAGTCACTAATCAGTATCTGAATTGCTATCGGTTAACCCTTTCCGTGCGGTGGGCACGTATACGTACCCACGACAAAAGTCGCTAGATTGCGGCGGGTACGTTGATGTACTCCGCTGTTTTATTTAGCAATCGGTCGCAAACTGTTGGTCTAGTTTTTCCGGGTTGTAGTTTATTGATAAGAAGTCTTCTTCGAGATTAACATAAGCGACGGTAAATCTCCCTTTCATTTACGACGGGAATTTTATTTGCGGCGGAACGAGGGAGTGTTTTTAAAATTTATGCAAATTTCGGTGTTTTTTGGGTGGTAATAGAAGACATATTATCCCTTCCATCTACCAAAGTATTTTGAGTTAGATCACAAAATTGCTACAGCAATATTATGCTATTGTTTGCCAACCACGAAGCGGTAACAGTAAAGGATTTAGCGAATATTTCTATTTTTTATCACGGTTTGAAGTTTCAACTCCCCAAAAAAATGCCTTTTTTCTATCCGGTTTGTGACTCAGACCACCACTTTTAAAAAACCTTTTTTTTTTTTAATTGCCAATTGCAAGCTCTTTAAATAAGCTTTCCAACGAGCCGTCAGTGGGCAGCAGAGGATCATTAGTTTTTCGTTAGTCGATCGATTAGTTGTGGGGGTACAAATGCATAAAATCGGCGTAGCGAATACGATTATTTAATAAAAAATAAAAATCGCATGGAAAGGGTTAACAATTCCAGAGTTTAGTTCAATATGAATCTAGAAAACTAACTCGATTTTTAAATATTATTCAGAATTCAAAATATTCACTCAATGTATTGTCTGTGAGTCACAACACCAAGCTGGGACTGAAAGGCTTTCACAAGTTGGGTGAAATTCTTCACATATTATCTGTAAAAACAATCAATTTGTTTGATTGCGATTTAACTAATGACAAGCTCTCGAAATTGTTTGGTTCTTCAAAGAATAAACAGGTGAGCTATATACACATAATAGGTCTCGATATTTAAGTTATTAAATCCTATTGCAAGCTTATCGACTTTCTCCAATGAATTTTGTTAACAAAATAAAAATTTTCAGACTTCCTCAACCCTGAGATACAAAATATGTTAAATTAAATAATTAAAAAATATCCACCAGGAGGTACAGCTGATGTCTGTTGTAGTAAGGCTTAGGGTTATAACTGAATTTTGATCATTCCAGATATCAACTCTGGATGTAAGTGGTAACACCGAAATCACGCTTGGAGGATTCAAGATTATTGGACAAGTGTCTGCAAATTCCGAGTTGAGAAATTTACACATGAGATGCTGTGAATTGGATAAAACAAAACTAAATGACTTGCAAAGTTCATGCCAAAGCAATACAAAAGTATATTGTTAAATTTAAAATAAATGATTTGAGTTGGCGAAAACATTTTTTGCCCTTTCATTTATGTTGCGTTGAACAAGATAAATTCATGTGATAACTTCCTAATAGAATCCTATTTGATTTGATGAATTTTTACAGCTACTGTTCAAATTATTAGAGCAATATATATTATTTGTTTCTTTTAAGAATTTCGTTTTCAACCAACTGAATTATTGACATCCTATATTTTGATATCGCTCACATTTGAAGTATAATAAAAATGGATGGATAAAATACCGATAATCAATATTTACATCCGAGCTTTGTTATATTTTAAAAAAATAATGTAGAGAGTATGGTCCCTTGATACCTGAAAAACTTTTTCATTTTTATTATAGATATCAAAATTTGATGTCAGTTACAATCGAACTCTTGGTGTTGAAGGAATGACTGAACTTGGTAGAACAGTGGTCAACTTCGAAGTAAAAAATCTGAACATTGCCGGTTGTGCATTAAATGGGAAACTTATGGAAGCATTCAGAGTATCAATTGGGGAAGAGAAAATTATGGTAAGTAATTATACATAGAGTACATGTAATGAAGTTAACACATGTTTATGCAGCATAAGGGCATTCTCGAAATTCTGTTAAATAGAAGAATTGTGGGCGAAGAAAGGTTCGCAAAGCTAATTGCACACTCACGTCAAATGCTTGTGAAGTTTGGCAATACTTATATTTGCTAGAAGTTTTTTTTTAATTATAAAAATGAGCAAGTAAGCTTTCTGCATACGACTAACGGACGAGCAGTTGCATGCTGTCTTAGGACTAGCAAACCAACACAAAATAAGGCTTAATATCAAGTCTCTAACCGATACAAAACTTTGCCAAATATCCAGCATAAGGAAATGAATACGTTTTATGTCTCGTTTGGTGTAAGATGTAATTTCAACAAATATATTTCAGATTTTATCTGATATTATGTATCATATTTGTAACTAATTTGTTAGTTTGTTGCCCGCGTCATTGATAAAGTTCAAAATATGGCCTATGACATCTTTTGAGTTGAAGACCCCTGCTCTGAAATATGCTTTTTGTTATAGGTTGAGGAATTGAATATATCACGAAATTCTAAGCTTAAAAACGGAATTGTTGATGTGGCTCGTCTACTAGAAAGTTGTTGCATCAAGAAAGTGGATCTGAGCAATTGCATGCTTTCTGTGAAAAATATTAATGAATTTAGCTCGATATTGAGAGAAAATAATATTTGGGTGGGTTAGTGAGACTTAAAACTGGGAAACAGAATTAAGATAGTTTCGATATGACGAATAATCAACTCATTCAGTTTTTCAATTCAAAATTCTTTATAGTTCGACAATTCTTTATAGTGGTACATTTTGCAGAGTGTTAAAAACATAGTTGGAAGCCTAGCACGGAAAACCAGGCTAAGATTAAATTATTAAAAACATGATTATGGGTCGCAAGAAGTAAATATATAGTTAGATTTTATTCTGATCCATCAGCAAAACAAAAATACACATTGAAAAGATGAAAGGAAGAATTTGAATACGTAGGAGTACTTTAAATTTGGTCATCATGAGGTGGCTTGTTGTATCCTCCACCATCAAGTCCACGGCGCGGCGGTGTGGCTCAACGGGCTAAGCGTTAGGAATACGCTCGCCACCGCACCTCTAATTGCTCTGTCTGGGTTCGCAGGTTCGAATCCCATGCAGGGATGGTTATGTGCGAGAGGATTGCTGGACTCCTCGCCGTCGTTGGGTGGTTCACGTAACCGCTGGTCGGTTACGGCTTCCTCCACCACCAAGTCCATGCTTCCGAAAACAAACAATACAGTAAAACTAATCCCATACCCGACTTGGAATGGTAACCGGACGAGAGGCCGTGGTTCGCCATATGGATAAGCCGTCTTATCGGCTTTCCTCTCCCCCGGGATAAATATGTAAATCCTATCCTATCCTTATTCTGTTCGATAAAAAATTGTTATATTAACAAGTGAGCTATGCTCAAATATATGGATATGTAGCGCCACCAGGTGGCAATAATTTTGATGACGTTGTAGTGAAAAAAAAGTAATAGCCTTATGGAGAAAAATTTTATCTTTAACCACTGAAAATTTCAAAGCAATTGGTCCAGTATTCGAAGAGAAAAGCAATTTTTTAAATATGATGTTGACGAAGAAAAACAACAACAACAACATAATATTGAAACGATCGTTATGTCCACTACGTGTCCAATAATATCAACATCCACATTATAACAATTACTATAATCTATTTTTAGATTGAGACACTGAATATAAGTGAAAATGCTCCAACTTTTATTGTAACACGACGTCACGTTGAAGCAATCTGTGATCTTCTACAAAATGTCTCAAAAGAGCTGATTTTCATAATCAAATCCATTAAACCTCAAGTCAAAAGGATTTTGCAACAAAGATTGGAAGAACTTCCAAAGGAAAAGGTTATTCTTGAAATACTGCAATTATTTATCTAGTGTTGAAAAAGACTTTAAGACAAAAGTCTCAGTCAACTAAGAAGTGATATTAACAAAAATGCACTTTGGAATCACGTTTGTGCTGAGATTAAGGGCAATAAAAAGTAATTTAATATATATCTTATGTACTACCCAGCCAATCTTATCAAACTACTGACTGTAATGACAGCACTTAGTATATTAATAGGAGTGCAACGACCTCATAACTCCCTCCTGGCCACACTTTCATATCTTCTTTTTCTCCATATAAGGAAACAAAAGTTATACTTGGGAATGGCGATATTTTGGAACCTAAAGATAGACAAGCACAACCTACTACTACATGATTAAAAAATATTATTTTCGAGAAAGTATGAAGAGGACTCTGTCATTCTGCATGCATTCTAATTTTAATTTGAGAAATCTTTAAACATCTTCTTTTGGAACTTGCTATGTATTCTTTCAATTTGTCTGACCAAGAACACATTATTAAGGAACTAAAATTTGAAAATATTTGTGGGAGATAATCCGAATATTTTTTTGTTTTATTGAAACATTGAAGAGAATTATTATAATGCAGTAATTTGAAATAACAAGTTTGTGATTATAATTTCTAGTATTAACATGGGAGTATGCATTTTATTCATTTCCATTAGTTCAAATGTTCCTTTCCAAACTCGGTTTTATTTGTCATTGTTTACGATATCTTTTATCCTGGTGTTTGCAAATATATTTTTACTGTCAATGTAAGTATCAATCCTTAGATAGTAAAGTTGCTTATATCTATTTCAATATGCTCATTATATAGTTTTTCCCACAATATATACAATATTTTAAATAGATTAGATAGAAAACTAGAATTTTGACGCTCTAGAAGTATTCGTACCTGGGCATTCCCCTTTTGATACTTTGCCTTATTCAATCCCCTTATTGGTACGAATACGGTACTCCAGAAATATTCATACCAATGTGGGTATTAAGTAAGTCAAAGTTAAGCAAAGCGTCCTAAGGGAAAATGCCCTGGTACGAATACTTCGGAAGCACCAGGATTTATATGATATAGAAGACTTTACAAGTGTTTTGCAATATGTACTTTTTCTAATAAAATATCTTTAATAAATTTAGCAATGCTAATGAAAATATTCAACTATAAACTACTTTATTCAATTCTCAAGGCAATCAAAACAGATTCTAAACACAAATTACACTATGTAACAAAAAACTTTTTTTGTTCTCGGCTTTTTTTCCTGGATTTCCTCTTCGCTTTCGACACGTACATTGAGGAATCCTTGATTTTTTATATATTTTAAAACAGCGTGAAACTTTCATTATAGCATATCTGTTGCTATTTGTTATTGTTTTTGATATTCCATAGATAAGTTTCTTGTATTCTATGTAAGAAAACTTTTTATGTTACAATGAAATTAATACAAACACTTTTCAATTAATGTTTTGCAATTAAAATGATCAAAAATTGCGAAAAAGAAGATTTTTTTTAAATTTCTAATTATAGTCCAAGTCGATTTACTGAAAAGACCCCCCAAATGTAGTCACCTATAGTGTGTAAAAAGGGCATATTTTTAACGCAATATTGACATCAATATTTGGCTGTGACCGCCGAAAATTCAGTTCTGTTTGGTCCTTTTTGCCTTAAAACAGTGGAATATACCAGATAGTAGAGTCACACAATTTCGCCAGCCCCAAATGACCGAATAAAATACTAAATTTTCCAGCACATAGGAACCTACAACTGTCCTGCCTAATATTGATTTCTATTTTACAATTAAAATTTGCCCTTTATCCCACTATTGCGACATAATTTGTTTATAAACGTCCATTACCAATGACAGTACTAAAAGAAATCGTTTTTTATATAATTTGATTTTTTTTGAAATATTCAGAATTGGGCCATCTTGTTGAAATTAATTTGTAAAGTATGATTTTAAAATACAAATCTCTGTCATTTTTTAGATATAGCATAATAGCTGTATTGATAAATTTTACAAATTGAAAAGAATATTATTTGTAATGGCTGAGAATATGGAAAATTCTAGAAGGCAAGTGGAGTATACATGGAGTACAAGTCGCTTTGAGTCGGATCTTGTCTATCATTTTGTGACATTTTTACGAGAAAATCAAAATAAACACAGTGTCTTATTTGATCGTTCAATTCGAGAAATCATGGAAATGCGATTTCAGATTGAAGAACGTCAAAATGAAATACATGGTACAAACAATGGCGGACACCTGCACAGTACAATTTCCACTGCATTTTGTATCGAGTTACTTCAAAAAGTGACCCATTGCCTGAGGTACATGCATGATATACCAATTGACCCTTCACGTGTCTATTTGTCTAAAGACAAAAAGCAGTTTGCTATTGCAAGTCCTGCGTCCCACAACAACATTGACAGCCTGGAATACTTTGCAAAATTTGCACTTTATCTCCTTTCTGATGGTCGTGTATCAGACCAAGTGGATACTCCAAATGACAAAACGATCGAAGAACTAGGAGAAATGTGTGAACAAGGGCAGAGAGTGAATGCGTCATCTTTATTATCTACTTTAAAAAAAGAGAAAAACGAAGAAAATCGCGAAAACACAAATGTAGAAAAAGGAAATATTCCCCTTGAACGAATTGAATCATTGACTGGGTTTTTGTGCTGCAAAGAACCGATTTTAGCTTTTGATTTAGTGACTAAGGTGTATGATGGAGATTATACAATAGAGCGCAATGTTGAGGAGCACACTGAAATTTTGCATCATCCATTTTTTTGGTCAGAGCCAAAAAAGTGTCAGTTTATATGTGATGTTTTTGGGTATTTAAAAAAGGAAAATTCATTTCAAGATGGATATAATGAAAGTTATGATGTCGATTTACTTACAAATTATGAAATGTCTGGTGAATTCGTATTCACTGAAAACGGATGGATTAATTCTCTCCATATATCTAAGGACGAATTGAGCGAATTGAATGAAAATCAAGAAATTATCCTTCCTACAACAATGCAAAAATTTGCTGTGGACAATAACCACAACCACGAGCATTCTTTGTATGATTTTATGCGTTTCTTTCGCAACCGCTACACTCACTTTTTGGAGGAGGATGTTAGGCATGTGTTTAAAAATAGCTCAACTGGATTTTGGAATTTCTTTGCTTCTAAGTATTCTTGCTTTCTCTATTACATTTACTCAAAAATGTGGCCGGAATTGGAAGGGGTTCCAGAGTTCAAAAGTTTTAGTGAATGTGCTCCAGAGTCAACTTATCTACGTACAGAGTACAGTGCGGTCCCATAAATTAATTCATGTTATATTTGCTACAAGCTTTCGAAAAATACTTTTTGAGCTAACGAATTTTCGAGTTTCGAATCGTTCTGCTACCAAGATATCACCGTATTTACTAATCAAACCTTGGAGAGGATGTGTTTCATTCAAGTTATTGGAATTGAATTTATTCTTGTTTTTTTTCTTAAAGATTGGTCTACCTTTGTTGTTGTTTTTATGCATGTTTTTGGTTTAAATTTATTTTTTTGAACCAATTCAAAAAATTTTAAGATCCAATTTAGTCACTGCGCTTATTAATATCATTTTTTATTTCAAAAAGATTTGAAAAATCATCACCTTCATTGTCTATGGTATCAACGTTTAGAACAATGCGCCAACTGTCTGAGCTACTATTTTATAATTGGGGAATCTTGATCATAGATTTTACCAAAACAATCTATGGCGTTAAAATAATCCACAAAGCCAGAGATTAGTTAGCGTTCAAACCACTGGTTTGGCCTAGCATGCCAAAGGTAAGACACTGTTTGAGCAGGCTTAAAGGTTCTGTGATTTGAGTGTTAAACAACCATCATTTCTTCCAAAAATAATAGATATAAGTGACTGCCTAAGTAATGAGGGTTCCATATTGAAATATCTGAAGTATTTAGCATTTCCATCTGTAGAATATCACAATACAAAAAGTACATTTCAAAAACATTGTAGGATACTCCCATAGTGTGTGTACTAGGTAAGAGTTAGGCCATATTTTTATTCTGATTTTTTTTATTTTTGTTTTATATGAGTTTGGAGACCCCTCGCCCATTGGTTTCAATCCCTTCACACAATTTGATATAAAGCAGTCGAACAAAATTACACACACTTCTGGAGCGCAGTCGTATTATATCTTTTTAATTTTTATGTTATTTTAACTTTTATTATTACACTAGCTTTTGAAATTTTTATCCACTGTAACATTTCTTTTTAATATATCACGATTGAAACCTTTTTTTTTTTCATTAATTTACATTGTTGTTAACATATTCAATGGTCTAATACTGACTAATAGATATATATATATGAATATCCACATTATAATAGATAAAAAATCCCATATTACATATCTCTTAGATAGCTGTATATTTCACGAAGCGAAGTATGCTGTTCACATGCGAGCCTCTAACTGATTCATTTACTGTTTAATGTTGAATAAAACAATTTAATAATCTGAACGCTTACAGACTGGTCGACTGATCCAGAAGTATGTGTACCAATATGGAGGTACCGGTAACTAATTTTGTTTGCCTATTTTACATCATGGGTAGGGGGTACTTGGCTAACATGGACAGCCCCCGAACTCGTAATAAAGAAAATCAGAATAAAATTATGTCCCGACTGTGACCTGGTACACATACTACGGGAGTACCGTCGAGTGGATATTATCTCCCTTTTTTTTTCGGTTGGGACTTTTGAATATGACATAGTGGATAAAACACCGGTTAGAATGGTAAATCTCATGCAAATCTACATGATGAAAATTCATTATTGAAATAGTCTTTGATTCTGCATTACCTTTTATTTGATGTTATTTTGATTATTGTGAAAGTAGAATATATATTTCATTAAAGAATTTATGCATTTATGATACAAAATGACATCGGCAACATACAGCCCAACATATATAACACTTTGTGCTGCATGATTTATTTTTCATTTTTTTTCAAATTTCGTGTGATATTTTGTTTAATCGTAGTGAACTCGGTATAATAAATATTCAGTGTGACAGACCCAGGCTCCATGCCCAATGCCTGGATTGTCTACAACTAAAATTTTACAAGCTTTGTTTCACTTGATTCTGTCTGGGTGGTACAGGTACTGGTAAGATCGGGGGTGGGCAAGGTTTCTGGACCAAGGGCCAAAAATATTGTTCACATACACTGTCGGGCCATGTAAATGTGACGTAAAAAGTTACATTTTATGAACAATATTCACAGTGTTACAGAAGGGAACATGGAAAACAATGAGCCCCTGGCCAAAGCTAAATTTAATTGCAATCTCAACAAATTCCTTGAGCTATTTTTAGCTAAAACATAAAAATTTGGTTTCAGTTTGGTTGTGGCAGCATCAGGCGGG